AAAATCTTTAAAAAAAAAAAAAAAATAGCAAAAGCGAGAGAGATCACAGGAGGAGAGGGAGAAGCAGACTCACTGGTGATAGGACAGCCCAATGCAGAGCTCGATCCCAAGACCCTGAGATCATGATCTGAGTTGAACGCAGATGCTTAACTGACTGAGACACCCAGGTGCCCCCTTAATGTGTATCTTATTTTTAAACTACATGCGTGTTCACAACTTGGAACCTAAACTGGGTAACAGTAAGCCCCCTAACAATTTCCTGATATGTTGCTTTCTAAAAACTAAATAAGCAACTTTAATTACAATATAAATATTAAACTTACCTAGATGCTACAGCCCAACCTGGCAGACCAAATCTTTCATAATCTCCTCCGTAAATATCACGGACCAGCTTGTCAGCTTGGGTGCTGTCACCTTTGGATGCCATTTCAAGAGCCTCTTCAAAACTTTCACAGCCAGTCAATAAACAGCATAAACCCAGAAAAGTACCCCCTCCAAGGCTGAAAAAAAAAAAGAAAGAAAACTGGGTAAGTTACATTAACACTGTATTCTTTCTCCAGAGTAAAAAGATGGAATATCCATGTAATTAATAAACACAAAGAAAGAACACATTGCTAATACCAAGTGCTGAAATATCAACATAATGAAGAAAAATGCCAAACTAAACTTGTCAGATGAAAGAATGAACCAAAGAGGGAAAAATCAGTTGGTGATAGCAACATGAAGGCAGGAAGAGATGTTGAATATCTTCTAATATCTTTACCCAATTCCTTACACTTTGTAATTGCTAAAAATAAATGCTTTTACATGTGTGTGTGGGGGGAAGCAGTGTTAAAAATTAGTACCATATGAATTAAAAGGAGAAAGCTTGCAACTCTAAATGGTTTCCAGGAAATGATTTAGTGAAAGGCCTATTTACTTGGTCTGACAAGGCTGAAATCTATTCAGTGTGACACATTAGCATTTAAAATGACCCAGAAATGAATATGGTGAGAAAATTTATGTCAGGCTGGTCAGTACGTTAATGATAAAAATTTACTTGGTTCTATTATTTTTTTGGATATACTGATAAAATGAAATCATGCTTCTCTAATCCCTAAAATCAAAACCTTTGCTCCCCAGTCTCACCTAAATTTCTAACAGACTCTATGTATCCCTGATCACTGCCAGAATTTAATTAACAGACTGAATTTCTTTTAGAATGAAATAGGTAATATTTCCCTGTAAGTCTTTGGCATAGAGTCACAATGGAGGTAGATTTTTAGCCACCACAGAGATAAAATACTAATTAAATTTAAGTATCACTTAGAGGTGCCTGGCCAGCTGAGCACTGACTCTTGATCTCAGGGTCATGAGTCTGAGCCCCACATGGGGGTAGAGTTTACTTGCAACAAAAAATTTAAGTATCACTTTAGTAATAGGAGCACTACTTTAAAATGGCAATGAGTTCTTTTTCATAAACCCCCATCTTTCTTCCTCAAATAATTAGGAGCTTCTATCCTTAAAAGCTGATGAAGTATCAGAATCATAAGAACAATTTTTAAAAAATTTTATTTCACAATATTTCAGGCATCATAGAAAATCTTAGGGATATTTAGAACATCAATGTTATCCCATAATGAGCTCATGTTAAATTCATCTTATAAGAATTATTACAGGGGCACCTGGGTGGCTCAGTTGGTTGAGCATCTGATTCTTGATTTCGGCTCAGGTCATGATCTCAGGCTCATGAGATTAAGCCCTGCATGGGGCTCCGTGCTCAACTGAGAGTCTGCTTGAGATTCTCTCTCTCTCTGCCCCTCCCCCCACTCTCTCTCAAATAAATAAAATAAATCTTAAAGCAAAAAGAATTATTACAATGTTGCCCAATAGGACACTTAAAATGTGAATCTAATCCAACCAGCATGCAAGCTGACCAGTGGCAAACTTCAGGCTTAAATAGATCATACAACACTGGAGAAACAAGGAGAGGAATGCTTTGGAAAATAGAAAGTTATGAGACACAATGAATCATGAACACTACCATCAAAAACTAATGATGTACTATATGGTGACTAACATAATAAAAAAAAAAAGTTATTGCAATCAGTCCAGATAAAAATTCCCTTTTACGATTATGGAAATTTTGATGCCAATTGATGTCAAGCAAATATAAATATTTAATTATTTTAGTTTGAGTCTTTATACACATACCTTATAAAACAGTATTATTTGCAACACTTTAACTTATACTTGCACAGCTACATTTTTTGCTACTGCACAAATGCATGTTAGAGGCTAGCATTAAGATGATTTCACAACTTGTGTGTATAAAACATGAATGCTGCAATAAGAACAGAAAGGTCACTACCTTGTCCCGGTTACTCGTTTATAGTTGTCTTTGGAATGGACTGCTAAAATACTGACTCCTGAACCAATGTTCACTATCAGCAGTGGATAGGGATCATCCAGGTTAAAAGGCATCTTTTGGCATCGCTCAGGTTCTGAGGCATTAGCAAAATAATAGCACTCTGCTTGTCCATTGAAACTGACAGAATCTATATACAGCAAGCCCTTTACAAGGCAGTCAAGTTCATCCAGTTTGTGCAGGTGGAGGTTTCCAATCTATAAAAAACACCACAGAAGTTTTATAAAGTGAACAAGGGACAGTATTCAAAATATGACTCAACTGCACTGTATAATTTTCATGAACTTTATAAAACTTCAAAATCATCTATGACCCGTACATTTTCCCTTTTTTTGTTTTGTGTCAGAATCTTAGTCCAATGGTTCTCAGTGATAGTGGTATTACCTCTGGATGCATTCTGAAAATTTTTAGGGATATTTCAGTTTTCACAAAGATGGAGTGGAGAAGAGGACCAAACTAACATTTAGTGGGCAGGGATTTGGGATGCCGGATATCTGCAATGGGTAGGGCAGTTGTGCAAAAACAAAGTTATTATCCTATTCCTGTCTTATCTGTGAGCCTTCTGACAGACATTTTTTTAGGGAGCAGTAAGAAAATTTGTTTGTAAGGGTGCCTGGGTGGCTCAGTTGGTTAAGTGTCTGCCTTCAGCTCAGGTCATGATCCCAGCGTCCTGGGATCAAGTTCCACATGGGGCTTCCTGCTCAGCGGGGAGCCTGCTTCTCCCTCTGCCCGTTCCCCTGCTTGTGCTCTGTCTCAAATAAATTAAAAAAAAAAAAAAATTTCTTTATAATTATCTGAGCCTGTGTAAGCACAAAGTATTCTTTATATATATGCTAAATTTGCTAGGAATGTAACCACCATATAAACTGAGGAAATATTGGACTTTTTTATTGTTTGGAATTTTCCCAAGTGTTATTTAGCATCTTAAGAGTGTTATGTCACAAACAGCAACACCACTTAAGGTACAAGATTCTCCAATAAAACATACCGTATCAATCTACTAGCATTTGTGCCTTTAAAATTCATGGTGAATTTATGTTGAAGTGCCAGCATCTAACTCTCTCATTATGCCTTCTCATGTGATCATACCAGAGACTCTATCAATTTCTATATTATAGTTTGGGTACTAGTCTGAAATTATTAAGTTCATTTCAGGTTAGTAAAGAATGTATTATAAACTATTTGTAAAAAAGATCTCAACTTAGAGATCACTTCCTCTGGGAAGCTTTCATTCTCCAGAACTTGTTAGGTAATACTACTCTGGTATTCCCATGGCACTGCTTTTCGTATCAATACTTGAGGCGTTGTACTTTTACTTATAACTCACTTATCTGTGTGGTCTAGAATACTGCACTCTTTCAAGGCTAAGACTGGATCTTATTCCCAGCTGAGTTCTGTGTCTAGCATAATACCTGACACATATTACCTGACACATATTAAGCCCAAATATTTAGCTTAATAAATGATTGAGCATCAACATAAAGTTATTACAGAACTTCATCACTAGAAATTATTGATACTTCTGGGTCGCCTGGGTGGTTCAGTCAGTTAAGCCTTGGCCTTCAGCTAGGGTCATGATCCCAGGGTCCTGGGATTGAGCCCCGCAGGGCTCCTGCTCAGTGGGGAGTCAGCTTCACCCTCTGCCCCTCCCCCAGTTCATGCTAATACAGGAATAAAAATCATAAAAAAAAAAAAGAAAATAATTGATACTTCAATGTCAGGTGAAAGCTGGCTTCAAGGATACTGCTTCTGGTAAGAATTCTGGCAAACACTAAATATCACATGTTCAAGCAAACTAGTCTCAAATCTATGAAATTTATGTTCAAATTACTCAATAAATTGAATACAAATCAGTATTATCCATCAAAAGAAAAAAATTAGTAACAATTTAGACTTTTAAACTATCCCAAAGTTTAAGGGGCTCACTTATGTCAGCCATAAGCGATAACTTATCTTCTATTAACAGACTTTTCTTATATGAATTTAAGAAATTAAATGGTTCACATGCATATTTTCAAAGAAAACAAATTTCAGTACTTCCAAATGCCAACTTTCTGATCTTTATTCTACAGGAAAGGATTAGAAGCTTGGCAAACCCCCACTAGCACTTAATAAATCAATGTTTACGTAGTCCTCTTGCTATATCCAAATGACCCCCTTTGAGATAGGAACATGGTAAGGTTGGTGGATAAAACCAGAAAAAAGGGCTAACATGACTCTCATTCAGATGTCTACTTAATCAAAAGACACGGGCTTCAGCTGATTTTTTTTGGGGGGGGGGGCAAGGAAAGAGATGGCCCTGGGAGACAGGACTGTATGAATAATACATAAAAACAATGCATACATAGGACAGTAATAGAGAAAATAATTCAAACGTCACTTATATTTGGCTTTGTATGCTGCCAAATTCATTGAAATCCCCTTTTATTGTAGCTTTACAGCAGTCCCTGAACTTAGCAGGTTTTACCAAATATTATGTACAATAAGCCCAAATCTGGGCAATTTTTTACACAGTCTATAAAAGCTATTTAAGTGCCCCAAATGAAAAGCTGGTCATGAATACATACTTCCTCCATATCCAGCATGGGGAACTAATCTAGGAAACAGCCTCGTATTTTAAAAATTAAAGAGGGGGTGCCTGGGTAGCTCAGTGGGTTGAGAGTCTGACTCTTGGTTTCGGCTCAGGCCACGATCTCAAGGTTTTGAGACTGAGCCCCATAACGGGCTCTGTGCTCAGTGAAGAGCCTGCTAGTCCCTCTCTCCCTCTGCTCCTGGCCACCACCGCCGCCGCCCCCCCACCCCCGCCGCCTCTTGCTCCCACACTCTCTCATAAATAAATCTTTAAAAAAAAAGAAAGAGAAAATGGGTATCAATTTTTGGTTTTGAGTAAGATACCTACTGTGCGAAAATCTTCTTCAAACTTGTAAGCACCACCTCCTGTAGCACATAGCACCGTGTGTAATGTTGAGAAGTTTTTATCTCTTCCCATTTGAATAAAAGTAGGCAGGTCGTGGGTTGGAAATCTGATAAAGTGCAAGTTCCCTCTTCGCCCAAAAAGTGTTAAATCCTTCAGTTCAAGGTGTACATCCCGAATACCAGTGGATCCATATGCTACATTAGAAGTCAAATATTTCCGGATACTTTTTAAGCTCTCAACTTCTTCTTGTTCTTCCTCTGCTGTGATATCAATAGGTTCAAAATATGAGAGCTTTACTAGAGTCCCCCCAATGTCCATGCCAAACCATGGGAAAGCTGTGGATTAAAAAAAAATACATATATATCAACTTTAGAAATGCAATTTAGGAGCTAATTAGCCACAAACTTCATATATCCTGAATCATGCAGTCAGTATTTTTGGGGTAAGATGCTTCTTCTATGTGCAACTCAACTTTTTCCCTTCGAAGTATTACTTTATACATTTTCTAAAAACCTGTAACACAGGATGCTTAGAGCTGGCCCAGGGCCTTTTAATTCCTGGTCAGGTAGGTATTCCTTTTCATTTATTAAATACTTGTCATATGCCCCAGGGGATCAGGAAAAATTTGGACCAATTCTGTTTTAATAAATAGGTCATCACCTACGGCTTGATAATGTTTCTAATAAGATTTTAATGCAATAAAACTGGCCTATAATTACTTCAAGTAACCCAAGGGAAAAAGTACCTCCTTAAAAAGAAATCTTATTCTTTGCTCATTGAACAATGTATTTCTTTGGTACATCTGGTTAATAAAATTAGCTGTTAACGTTGAAGATAAAGTCTATTTGGGAACATTTGGGCAGGCAGTTATATCATTTGGGTTTGGAACTTGGTGCTCTCTCACTAACTGGACTTATATGACTTTGGAAAAGCCATTAACTTCTCTGAATCTTAGTTTATTTAACGTCTGTTTCTATTCTCTGGGATCTTAAACAAAATGATAGAGACTCAAGAATAATTTAATACTTAAGATATACGTATTACAGAATGCTTCAGAATAAATTGTATTTAACAGTTTATGTGTAAGTTGTCAAGGAAAACTAGTTCCCTCCAAAATCTGTTTCTTAAATATTAATATTTTATTTGATATATCTGCCTATTAGAAACCAGGTACATACAATTCAACAAGAAAGGATTCTATACATTTCTCCATTTCAGAATTTATGCTTACTGAAATTAGTAAGTAATATTAAATGAGGAAGGAGTAATTCTCATTCTCTTCTCCTGGAGAAATAGTTCGCTCTTTTTTTTTTTTTTAGCTCACTTGTTTTTGTATTTGAAACCCAAGTTCCAGATACAGATCTATACTAAAGACAGTGTTAAAACAGAAACTTAAAAAAAAAAAAAAAAAGTTAAATGACTTAAGACCATAACCTGGGGGGCAGTAAGACCCCAAACAGGCACAACACTTTTGTGTCACCTATAGATTTTTATAAGTAACTAAAACGTAAAAGAAACAAGACTAAATTTTCTCCATTTTTAAATCCCTAGTAGCAAGCCCCAATACTAACAGTTACAGAGAGAAAATTCACAGCAACTGTTTGCTTGGACAACACACTGAAAGAAAAAACAATATGGAGTAGCTCTAGTGATCCAATAAATTAGAGATAACTTCAGAATTTTCACAATCTGTTAAACAGGTATGTAATTAGGGCACTTTTCAATGGACATTAGATAAAACATAGGAATGCTTCTGATATTATATAACTAAAACGATTTTTAAGGGGCGCCTGGATGGCTCAGTCAGTTAAGCGTCTGCCTTTGGCTCAGGTCATGATCCCAGGGTTCTGGGATCAAGTCGGCATGGCATTGGGCTCCTTGCTCAGCCGGGAGCCTGCTTCTCCCGTGCGTGCTCTGCCTGCCGCTCCCCCTGCTTGTGCTCTCTCTCTCTCTGATAAATAAATAAAATCTGGGGGGAAAAAAAAAAGGCTTTTGTTGATATATTTGCATCAAACAACCAAACTTGTCCTATCTGAAAAAGAAAACTCCATACAAAAAGTAAAAAGAATTTGTAAACAAAACTATGTTTTATTATTACAGTATATCAAATCCCTCATTCCTTTTAAATTACATTAATTACTAAAGAATATTTTAAGATATGTATGACATGGGGCGCCTGGGTGGCTCAGATGGTTAAGCGTCTGCCTTCGGCTCAGGTCATGATCCCAGGGTCCTGGGATCGAGTCCCACATCGGGCTCCCGGCT